CTTTTTTTTTTTTTTTTTTTTTTGTTCTTTCGGTTAATTTACAAACTCTTTGACAATATCAACTTTATTTTATTTTTAATATTTTTAATTTCTTCTCGTTTATGCACTATTATTTGTTTTTATTTCAAGTGAGATGATTAGATATAGTTTTTTGTATGTTACATGAAATTATAAATATTGTTGGGTTTTATTTATAAATAATTTATGAATTATTTTCTTTTCTTTCTTTTTTTTTTCTTTTTTACCAAAAAGAATGTTGAATTCATATTTTTCAATTGATTAGTTAAAAATAAATAATACTGTATAGAACATTTTTCTAGTATCTCTTAATTTGCACTTAAAACAGCATGAAATAAATAAGCAAGCATTTTGTAGCTAAATTTCCATAGGCTCAGGTTAACTCTAATTTTGCATCTAATCCACAAGAATGGAAAGGCCAGTGAGATTTACATGTTAGAGCAAGTAGAGGTAACTCTAAACCCTATATATATATAAGCCAATTCACTTGGGGATGAACCAATAATTTATTTTCTAAACCCAAAAATTCGAACCAATTTTTGAAAAAAATTAACCCAATCTAGGAATTTGTCTAACCCGACCCAAAACCATATGAATTGAGTCGAGTTGGACAAAGTGTTTCAGATTGTTAGCACCACTCTACTTTAAAGTTTGAAACTCATATAATAAAGCAATATATCCTACAAAGAAATAAGAGGAGATTATCCCACGGCACTCAACATGATATTCATATGCAGTTTACCTTAAAAAGGTTGGTACAATTTTAAAGGATTTAGGGTTTGGATGCAATTCAAAGCTTGTCCATAATATTTGAACAATTCCAAAACAAAACAACTCACTCCAACTTTGTTCTCATTCATTCATAACGGGCTTGTTCTCACTGGCCTTTGGTCTCTGTTCTTTTGGCTTCTGCTCTTCCGTTTTCCTACACCATTCAATTCATTCAAAGATTAACACACTGAATAATACCAAATATTAAAAAATGCTATAGATGGTTAGAGAACTTTGCAAAAGTAGTTTTGGGAACTGAAAAAATCTTGCAACAAATTCCTTGAGAGTAAATTAGATATCTTGAATAAACGTTAAAGCATTCAAGAGTTCTTAAATTTTCGATTAAATTAACAACTACAGATGTCTCGTTCTAGAAAAGTAGCAAGTGAAAAGGGTTCTCCATAGTCTTCCTTCAAACAGTACGGACAAACATGTGACTTGGGCACAATGACATATCATTCCCTACAAATTTAGGATCCAGAAATGACGGGACAAATCTATTAAATATAAATTATGTAGTAAATATGATTATTCTATGCTCGAAATTGATTTTAGTTTATGATATTTCATATGAAGGTAAGGCAATAAAAGTAACTGAATGTGTAATACTTAAAAAAGGTTGAAGAAACAAGTCACCACTTCTAATCATGTAGCAATTTCCACGAAAATATTTGAAACCAAACCCAACCCAACTCAACATTTTTCTAAATCATTTAACATCATAAAGAAAATGGAATTTGAAGCCAATAAAGCTTTATGATGCATATATCTTTTTATGTTCATCATAAAAAATATGCCGCCACATTCAAATTCAAATGTCCAGCACTTGTTCACCTTACGTTTACAAGTGTGCAATATATGTCTAACAGTTGTTCACCTTAATACATGTCTAATATGTTTAACAAATGTTTGACAAATGTTTGACAAATGTTTGACAAATGTTTGACACGTTTTGCACATATTCAAAATACGTACCCTCAAGTGTATGCACTTCATATTCAAAATTCAATTACATGGTTGCATTCGATCACTCAGAGATTAATCTTAGTTAGCGTAAAGCTCATGAATGGGTTTCCAATTAAATCTATTTAGTAAGCCTAATACTCCACGCTAAATCTTACAGAAAATAAGTTTAACAAGGCTGGAACTAAAAAAAACAGAACTAGAAAATGGTGGAATTCTTCGCAAAAGTAAGAAAGAGAAATAGCATCAACATCAACAATAGGATAAGAGAAAAAATAGCATGAAAAAAGATCAAATCCTAACTTAGAGGTTTTAGGATCAAGAACGGACGAAAAAGATGGTAAGCAGATTGGCTAAACAAACAGAGAGTGACCAAGTCCTCCAGCTACATGTTACGCTTATAATCAAACCTAATACTAATGAGTTCAAGCCAACAAATGACAACCTATTTCTTTACCCAAGGAAGAATCTTCCATCGATCAAAGCATATTAAGTTACTCACTTTTTTAGACATCTGGCGAAAAGTTGACGACAGAAATGATATTAACTAATGTCAATACATCAATAAAGATTAAGACGCTTTTGAATTACAAATTAAGAGGAAAGGTTCAACATAACATAAGATTTCTACAGAAAATGATAGATAAGCTCTCAAATTGATAGATTATAATATTGACACAAAAATCTCCTTGAAAATCTAACAACCTGTTAAAGGCCATTAGACATATACATTCAAACCCTAACAAAAAAAAAACAGGAACAAAATAATAGAAAGATGCAGAATTCGGCGACTCGTCGGAATGATACAAATAGTTAAGATAGAGAATACCTCTTGTCGGAAGGGCCTCCTTTCTGGCTGAGGAAGGAGCGGAAGAGTGGGGAGTTAACGTCGTAAATCATTGTCGGAGAGAATATTAAGCTTTCACAAAACAGAACGAAACCCTAATTTGTTGCGAATCTTAAAGCGTGGGAAGATGAAGGCTTGAATTTTATAGAACCATATTGGGCCGCCGGGTGAGCGGGTATCCGGCCCAAGTCAATACGGCCTCTTATCGCTTAATAAAATAAAATAATACACAATTAGAAACAATTTAATTACGAAGGCATTTACACGTGTCGCATTCCTAGGAGGGTTTGATAAAGTATGGGTGAGACTATGCGTAATCCACATTTCCCTCCAAAAATTGAGACAATTTTTTAGGCACCACAGCCCTACGATTCCCCACGCGCTTTCTTTCTCTCTCTAGCAATTTGTTAATATTTTTTTTAGGAAATTATAAAAATTAAAAATAATTTAAAGCTTTCCCTAATAAATTTTTAAATTTTATATTTATTTCTTAATTAAGAAAAAAGTCAAATAGTTTTTTTTTTTAAATAAAAAGCACGTTAATAATAAAGTAATGTTTATAGACTTTAAAATATTTTTTAAAATATAAAATCGAGAAATTAAGTATTTTTTATCGCTTTAAAATAAATTTAAAAAGAGTTATATTTCTAGTATATTTACTCGGTCTTAAATGTTTAATTTTGTCACAACATTTCTAAACCTTTAATTTTATATGTAATAAGTCATTAAATACGTCCTTAATAATTTTATCATATTTTTTTCAAAAAAAAATTTAAAAGATAATGAATATATTAAATATAAAATTTTATTTATTTATAAGATATTAAAGTTCCAATTCTACCCCCAACATATTAACAATTTTAAAAAAATGAAATAAATTAATAATTTATTAGATCTATAGTAACTACATTTTTTAAATTTTAGAAATTTATTAAATATAAAATTAAAAATTTTAATATATATATATACACGCGGAATTATAATTTAATACCAACCTTAAAAAGTTTAAAATTTTTAATTTTATATTTAATAAATTATATAATATATATAATTTTTAATTATATATATATATATATATATATATATATATATATATATTTTTTTTTTTTTTTTTATATATATATTTATGGATATATGAAAATTCTGAACTGTGAATTTATGTCTGCTTCTTGGCTCCTAAACTTGGTCTTCCCTCTTATGTCTCGGCATAGGACACGAAAAATGGTGACCCATTTCGTATTTCATTCCCATTCTCTCGATTTCTTGTAGATCCATAATTCCAACACATTCAACGCTTCCCCCATTTCGAATCATGGGTGTTTTGGGCGATTCTCTGTGTTTCTGCAAAGGGGTCGGCAAGTCCGAGAGAATCAAGGCTGCCATTTTTTCCGGTAAAGCCCCTGCCATGGCTCGTATCTCCCTCCCCGCCGCTGCAAATGGGGTCTCCGGCACCGCTTTTTTGATCCATCGGAGCCTTCTTTTGACCACCCATATCAATCTTCCTTCAGTTTCTGCTGCTGAGACTTGCGAGATCCGCCTCCAAAACGGTGTCGCTGCCAGCCTTGTTCCTCACAGGTGATCTGTTTTGCTTTGTTCTGTTCTGGGTATTGTAGGAATGATGGAAGAAATGTAGAAGATTAGGATTGAATTAATGCTTCGTTTTGGGATTGCTTTTGGAGTATCTGGTTGCTGTTCTTGCTTTTGTTTTTATTTGCTGGAAATTGATGGCTGAAGTGACTGTGTGCAAGTTCAATAGCTCCTTTACTTTTTGAATATGATTACAGATTCAAATTCTATTTTGTTTGTTTCTTTCCCTTTGATTCATTGATTACCCTCTTAAAATGTGGTGATTTGAAGGGGTTTGGATCAAGTGTCTACATTGCATTTATGTTGGATGGTCAAAATCTGAGACAGAGTTAGAAAATCTGCAATTCTTGTTCATCTCTCTCATAGACATTTGGGTTATACCTCTTAATTCACTTGGTACAACTTCATCTACCTTACCCAGTTCATCATTGGATCTTGTTTTTCTCTACTTGGGGGAGGTTTAATATCACTTGTAGCTTGTGGGGTACTGATTGTTTGTCTCAATGATGTATTATGCCTAAGAAACATGCATCAACTAGGTAGCTTTGTAAGATACTTGCCAAAAGTCATACCAAAAATTAACCATTCAATCCCTTATGCTTAGCACAGTAAGTCAATTGTGAAAACTTATAGATATATTTGAGCACTTTTAGAGCTATATGAGACTGTTTTTGTGGGTATTGATACTTCTTGCAATTCTATATGCTTTTTAGCAAGGTTCAAGTATTTTGTTGTTGGAATTTTCTTTTTTGTGTGCTGGGTTTGAGTATTTTCATGGTTGAGCTTGAACATTTCTGTAGTTCGATTTTAAGTGTTTTGTTGGTCGATTTTTTCTCGATTTCTTGCTTGATTTGGAGAATATTCAAATCTGGGATGCAATGCAATCTAGTGAACTTGAAAAATTTAAGGTTAAGGTTAAAGTTGGCTTACTAGGCTAAGTATAGGGATAAACATTATCTTTTGCTAATAACTATGAAGAGGTGTGCAAACCTCTTTCAAGCCATACTTCTCTATGGTCAAGAACAGGGAAGCTAGCATTCATTCTATGAGTTTTTGCTGTATCATGATTCAATACCTGGTAATCTGAAGAGAGGACCGTTCTTCTTTAATTACTGGTCATGCTACAAAAAAGGTAGTATTGTGAGATCTCACATCGGTAGGGGAGAAGAACGAAGCATTTTTTATAAGAATGTGGAAACCTCTCCCTAGCATACGCGTTTTAAAAACCTTTGAGGGGAAGCCTGAAAGGGAAAGTCCAAGGAGAAAAATATTTGCTAGGAGTGGGTTTGGGCTGTTACAAATGGTATCAGAGCCAGATATCGGGCGATGTGCTAGCAAGGACGCTGGGCCTTGAAGGGGGTGGATTGGAGGGTCCCACATTGATTGGAGAAGGGAACGAGTGCCAGCAAGGATGCTAAGCTCCAAAGGGGGGTGGATTGTGAGATCCCACATCGGTTGGGGAGGAGAACAAAGCATTCTTTATAAGGATGTGGAAACCTCTCCCTAACATATGCGTTTTAAAAACCTTGAGGGGAAGCCCGAAAGGGACAGCCCAAAGAAGACAATATCTGCTAGCGGTGGGCTTGGGTTGTAGCAAAATTTAATAACTTAAAACACTTCGGAATCTCTGTATTCTTCTGAAACTGTTGACCTTTTACTTTTTTTCAACTTTACATACCATGTGCATCATTTGCTTGGAAGTCTTCAGCTAATTTTTGAAGTTTACTTTGGTTGCAGGTTTTTCATTACAAGTTCTGTTTTGGATCTTACAATAGTGGGATTAGATGCAGTGGATGGAGACTCCAACTCTCAGCAGCTTCAACACTTGAAGATATGTTCTAAACCAAATCTTGATCTCGGAAACTCCGTTTATCTCCTGGGATATTCCGAGAAGGACGAGTTAATCATTAGTGAGGGCAAGGTGGTTATAGCCACTGATAACCTTATAAAGTTGTCGACTGACGGGGTAACATGGAGTCCTGGTTCTGCTGGATTTGATGCACAAGGTAACCTTGCATTTATGGTATGCGATCCTATGAAACTAGCCACGTCTCCAAATACCAAATCATCGTCGACTTCTTCGTCGACTTCATCGTCTTGGAAGAAGGATCTTCCTATGCAATTCGGGATTCCTCTGCCAATCGTTTGCGATTGGTTAAACCAACATTGGGAAGGTAGTCTTGATGAACTTAACAAACCAAAGCCACAACTCATAAGATTGATGTCTTCAGGACAAAAGAGTGAGCATTCTTCATCCTTCTCATTGAGGCAAGTTTTTAAGCCAATGGAGGTGAATGATGAGGAAACACCTTCACCATCAAATATAGTCTCAAAAACCAGGGACGTGGCTGGACCAAGCTATTCCGCTACGTCGAACACCATCAAGGAAGAGGCTCCAATAACTAACCTACATGTGAATCATGCACAAGGAATTCCTACTCCTGAAATATACGAATCACCAAAGCTGATTGCAGTTCCTGTTCGAAAAAAGGAAATTACGCCAACACAGCTTCTGGATATCAACTTTCCTCCAAGAGTTTCCACTGCTGTGATTACTCCGCATCCTACCAGACCAACCCGACTCAGCTCTGATGAAAATTCGACAAAGGATGTTTCTCAACAGAACCAATTGAGACAAGACAAAACCATGAACAGAAAACTTGTCAATCCTGTCGAAAACGGAGAAGATAGAGAAGAGGTTGCCTCAACAAATTCTGTAAATGGAGCGTTAAGTGAAGTTCAGTCTTGTTCATCTCCCATGGAAGCTTCAGCGGTGCAGGACGAGTATAGCAGCGAGGGAGAGATGACAATGTACTCTGCAGAAACTGCAGAGAGCCGAAACTATACAAGTCCTAGAGAAGGGAAGTTTCAACAGGTTGGAAGGAGTCAGAGTTGTGTAAACTACAATAGATGGGGATCAGTCCAAAGAAATCCAATGGCTCGCCAGACAATGCTAGAGAATCAAAAAAGTTATAAAAGTGGAAGGAATATGCATTCTCAAGGGGCTGGATCTTACCGGAGCAATGACTACTACGGCCCGACAGTCTCCTCGATCATGAAGAAGCGAAACAGCTCGGAACAAGTTAACAGACCAAGGCAAAGCTCTGCTGCTGGTCACTCGTCCCCGAGATGGATGTTCTGATAGAATGATCATTCCACACACACAAACAAAGGAAGAATAGGGAACAAATATTAAGGTCTGTCAGTGTATTTGATTCCCCTTTTATTTAAACTTAGATACGGCTTAGTCATTTCTTCACTTGTGCAGAGACCAATTTTCCATCTACATTCTTTATTGTGATTGTAAAAATTAAACTATTGTGACTTAATTCTTGTTTTGGGGGGATAAAAGAGTAAAGAACAGAAGAACCAGATGAAAAAATGTCTGGAATTAGTGACTTTTATTCTTCTTTTGGAGTGTGCTTGTGCCAAATGAAGCACCATTTTGGATCACTACATGGATCGAGAAAATTTAGATTCAGGAAAAAATTGGCATCAATGAAAGTAGCTTATAAGCAAGATACTCTAACATCATATTTGGACCTACTTCAAGAGGATCCCCATGCAGGTTTCCCCAAGCTCATCTCTGGAAGGGGCAGACTGAGATTGAATGCAGGGCTTTGTTCAAACCAACCATATTTATTAATGAGCTTGCCAATCAAATCACCGGCCAAGTATGAGAAGCCTCCGGCCCCAGCCGCTATAACGATGTAAGATGCTACTGTTTTGAGGTACACTTCCCACCTGTTTGGTCTCTGAATGTAAGCCTTCCCAAGAGCAAGCAACATGATGCATAAAAGAGATGCTCCTGCCACTGCTGCAAGCTTGAAATCCTTGTCATTGCTCTTGGTGAATGAGAAGCCGTAAACGAGTGGGGGGATTAGGCCGAAGAGTATGAACGAGAAGATAGCGAGAACAAAATGTAGAATGTAATTCTCACGCCTTCCCAGTACTACTTCGTATCGGTCTACATGTTCACGATCGTCTGCTTCATTAGCTGTCCTTCTGAACTGTTCGCTCTTGAGTCCTGTCAACTGCAAATTGTGTATGTTTAATGAGTGCTTGTGATTGGACAAACTTAATGCAATGGACTCTTCAACAAAGTAATACAAATGCAGAATCAGATAGCAGCTCGCCTAGTGATCGAATATTTTTCAAAAACTAAAAATGAAATGGTTGTCATATGAATTAATATGTGACTGTTAGCTATGTAATCAAGAATTTAATGAAGTACTTTGGAGAAAGTTGTACAAGTCTCCCGAGTACACCCTCCTCTACTATATATTTTTAATTATAAACATTCATATCTGAGGTTTTTCAGAAAGTCGGCTACTCACATTATGTCCAAGAATAAAAAGCCCACTAATCAGGTTTGCCAGCGCCAAAGCTACAATGTTCCCTGCCAAAAGGGCATGAAAATAGATTAATGTTTTGACAAGTTAGAGAGACCAATTTTTAGCCGGTGAAACAGGTAATTTGGTTCAGATTTGAACTAAGATAAATCAGGATATATCATGTTTCAAAAATAGGTATGTTTCTCTACTACGGTGTAACTTGAGATGTCCGTGCTCAGCATCTCACACTGATTGATCAGATGATAATCAACATGTCATATCCAGGATAGAAAAAAGATGTTATATAACAAACCTGTTGCGGTATTGGCACTTGCTGCAGATGCCACGATGCCAAGGCTTGTAATTGATTCAGCTAAACCACCGTAAACTATGCTTTTCACAATTTCCCACCTGTTAAGCTTACTTGATTCAGGTTCTACTTGTTCATCCAAAGAATCATCAACGGTTATTGCCACAGGTCCTGCTTCAACTAATAAATTCATATCATATCAGTCCCAAAACTAGTAGAAAAATTCTACCTAAAAAAAATTCAATAAACTATTCTGTCATTGTAGCTAATATGAAATTAACAGCAAAGACCAAAGCCAAGATTCTTCCAAACTTCAATATAAAAGTGTCAAGTTGATCAAAGTGCAGTTCCATCTTGAGAGACCAAAAGTGTTTTTTTTTTCTTTTCCCTAAAATTTAAAATAAAAGGTAACAAGTACATATTCCAGATAATACAACTATGTGTGTGAGCTTCAAAAACGTGGTGCTAATTCATTCAGTATGACTAGAAAGATAACATCCCAAGCTGAGAATACCTTCGCGACTGCCAACTGCACTGTCCAGTACTCTCTCAGCAGCTGGAGCTCCGACGGAATGAGAAACTGGGGAAGAATCAAGCACAGTAGCTTCTTCTACAGGTTCTGGAGTTTTTGGGATCTCTGTTTTAGCAACTGCAGCTGACTGATCAGGAACAGAAATTTTGTTTAACAACAAAGGTAGCCTAAATCGATCAAGCAGCCCCCTCTTTGGCTCTGAGGATGTGTATGGAATTCCAATCACAACATTCTCATCATCAATACCTGCATAAAAATTTAGCGAGATTTGAGCATTGCAGTAAGATGAGAGTTTTCTGTTTCCTCTGATATACCAAATGAATCAGGACATCTATTAAGTACTTCCCCAAATAAAGCTTGGTAGTACCTGACCTTAAAACCAAGAAAATTTATGAGATGCTTCTCTAAAAGTATTTAAGCGTGCATTTTTCGGAAACATATTTTGATATGAGTAGACAGCAGAAATAGTTGTAGACGTTCAAAACAAATCTTGAGAACACTCCAAATGTGATTGATAGTATAATCCAAAAAACAAACTTCCAGTTGAATATATAACGCTTGTACCATACCTTTTTTGTCATCAAACGTATCTGTTACAGTCTCAGCCATCGTTGCTTCAAGAGAAGGAAGACCTGGTGTTGAATTAACTTTAGTGTTAGTTTGAGACTCCGATAATACTGCTAATCCATTTGACTGATTCTGAACTTGCACTTCGTTTACTGTTGCAGTTTGATTATCTACATCCAGCACTGATCCATTTGACTCATGCGATGTGTATGGTATTCCAACTACAATATTCTCCACGGTATTTCCTGCATCAAACACATCATAAGAGCAAGGTAGGTAAGAAAATGGCAAGAAGAATCAACTTTTAGTTTATGCACTATCTCTGAAATATTCTTGATTTGAAGTCATGGCAGGAAAGGGCCACACTGTCTCTACGTGTTGATCAGGTAAATGGTTGTTCTGTTCTGTATTGGGACATCATGTTGGAGGTGAACATGAATAAAGAGGTTGTATTTCGTAAGAGTAGTAACAGTGCCAATACATGTTTTTGGTTTTTATCTAAGTAAGTCACCACAAAAACAAAGATGGCCAGCAAAGCGCTACCAAATCTAGAAGCATTTTCCAGAAAGTCCTCCACAAATCCTCTAGACTTTTGGTATTTCTTTATTTTAGAATGGCACTATTGTTTCTTATAAAAAAAGAAAATCAAAAGAACAAATAAAAAGTAAGGCCCAATGATTACCTTTCCTGCTGTCCTTAGCAATGCTCGAATCTTTGGTAGAATCTACTTTAGCTTCCAGGACTTTGTCATTAGTCCATATATCAAAATTAACCAGCTGATCAAGAACTTGGGTTTTATTTATGGAAGCATCTTGAATTCCTCGATCATATATTGTTTCAGCTGAATCTAGCAGCGGGCCTGGTTTTTCAACTATGATGCTCTCAATTTTGTTTCCTGCACCAAGAATCACAAGAAATTGGCCAAAGATGCTTCAAAATTATATTAATACTACCTTAACGTTAATTGTTTTCTTATCCACGTAGCATAACAAGTAATTACAAAAAACTTGTATGAATGTCCAAAGAAAAACATGAAATCTAACAAGGGACCTAACATCAATTGGATCCCTTTCCAAACCTCTAAACAATCTATTGTTCCTCTCTCCCCAAATATCTCACAATAAAGCACACACCCTGACAAGCCACAAGAAGTGACCTTTCTCCCTAAAAGGCAAATGGAGAAGAAATTCATCAATCATATCATTCAAGCCTCTATTGTGGGCTAACCAAAAGTCAAATGCCTCAAGAAAAAGAAATCTCCGCACAGAACACATGAAGTCATATCTCCAGAGAATATGATCCAAGTCTTCCTTTGTCTTTCGACAAAAAATACAGTAGAATCAACGAGGGTCTCTTTCTCGAAATTCAATCCAAAGTATTAACTCAACCATGGATAACATGTCAGAGAAAGAACCTAGCCTTCTTTGAAATCTTAATATTTCAAAGAGTCGATAAAACAGAATCCTTATCAAGAAAGGATCCTTCAAACAACGAAAGAAGGAACTACAAGAGAAACCCCAAAAGGTTAAGGCTCCAAATATACGCATCCCGACTTCCGATCCTAAAATTAAACTCCCCTATCAAAGACAGAAGGAAGTAAAGAAGGGGAACAATGAAAAAAAAATGTCATTTAATAACCAAAAGAAGGGGACAAAAACGAACTCTCCAACTATTTTTATCTTTTTGGAATACATTTCTTTTGAAACATGATATCACTAAGCGCTGTTTTTCTAAAGAATATTAATGTGAGTCAATCTCTATACAAGAAATAATTTTAAAAAGAAATACCATCAAAGGAAACAAGTTCTACATGTTACTGGTGGAGAAACAAGAATATCTAACCTCAAATTCCAAGCATGACTTTAGTTGTGAGCTACTACAAGTAATAATGGTCAAGTGTAAATTATTAAAACATTGCCCCTACCTTGTTTGCTTTTCACTCCCTTATCTGGTACAACCCCTTCCTCGGCAATTGTTGTGTTAAGTGAAGGATGAGATGGCGTTGAATCAGACACAGCATAATCGATCTTTTGCATTTGATCAGCTACTGCTGTTTCTCGTGCAATTATTCCCTCATCGCGTGTTATTTTAAGTGAAGGGAGAGCCAATGTTACAGCATTATCACCTTCATTTTTGTCAGCGACTGCATAATCAACTGACTGATCAGGAACTGTTGCTCTATCAACTGGACTTTCTTCATGATCTCCTGTTTCCTGCACTTGAAATGTCTCTTTTTCTCTGAACACTACGTTTTCAACATTATTTCCTGCATGCATATTTAATAGGAAAAGATCATGAGAATGCTTTGACTTGACGCTATATCTCTTAGTACTACAACTTTGATATTCCTTCAACCATATATTCTCATATCTATGCTTTTAAGTTCTATAAACGGAACACAAGTAGAAATCAAACACTGCTAGCATTTATGGCTTTAGCTGCTCCCCTCATAGAACGGTCTTGAGTTATTTCTGGGAGTTTCTGTTTCAAATAATATGAAATAAAGTACTTTTCCGCACCTTTCTTGCTAGACAATGTTTCCTCTTGTACAATCATTCTCTCATCATTCGCTGCTTTAAGTTCAGGATGAGCCTGTGTTACAGCATGATCATCTTCCTTTTTATTAGTTACTACGTAATCAACTGACTGAGCGAG